CGGATACAGCAGCTACCAGACTCCGTGCACCAAGTTCACTGTCAGCGTCATTTCAGTGTTAGGACGTACACTGTAGTTACTAGTAGTACCCTGTAGTTACCCTGTGTAGTTACTAGTGGGGATATTGTGGCCATTACTGTTGTCTTCGCGTTGTCACTGCCAGCTTTTGTATGACGTTTGCTGTGGTTGATTGCGTTAGCTTAGCTCCCTCACTATTCTACCTCTGACTCTTAATTACTTTGTTACAATCGTTATGACTTTGGCATGCTGTTGGAAATGTTACAGTAAGCAGATTATCTGGCTTCTGGAATGTATGGTAGCCATAGTCAGCATTTCGTGTGTTTAGTGCTAATGCTCGGCTCCCGATCCACTTCTGGCTCCCTGTGCTCAGTCTTCATACGCAGTTTCCCGGTTCACCCTTGACCGGGGCTCACTTCCGTGTCCGGCAGCGACTCTGAGCTGCGTGTCCGTCCATCCGACCGGCGCATCCTGGAGCTCATGTCCCGTCGCCAGGAGCAGGAGCGGCTCCAGGAGCGGCACGCTGTCGAGGAGCACCAGCGCTGGCGGCAGGAGTGTCTGCAGGAGCTGCGCCGCCAGTCGGAGCGCCAAGAGCGCCGCGAGGAGGCGGTTCTGGCGCGCCGCCGGGCGGAGGCCTGGGAGAGTCGCCGGCGACGGGAGGAGCTCCAGCAGCAGCACTCCCAGAGCCTGGAAAACCTGACGGCGCTGATACGGGGACGGGAGGAGCGCGCTGCGCTGGAGCTGGCCGCACAGCGAGGGAGGAAGGTGGGTTATCGAGGGATTATGAGGGCGTCTCTCGTACAACCCGGTGGTGAGTAGTAGAGTAGGTGTCGGATGTGTCTGTGAGGCATCGCCTATCAGCCAGAGGATTCTGTCGACAGACGACACTAGACGATAATGATATATTCAGCACAGACAGCCTATCCGCAGTCCCTTATCTAGCCGCCCACCCACCGACAGGACGAGCAGCTGGCGGAGCGCCGGCGCCGGGAGCAGCAGCAGCAGCTGCTGACGGCTCAGCAGCGGGAGCAGCTGGAGTCGGAGGAGCGGGAGCGGCGCCGGGAGCAGCAGCGGCGGCTGCAGCGGCGCATGGACGAGACCGAGCGGCGCAGGAACGACATCGAGACGGCCCGCACTCAGGTCAGGATGGGATAGGAGTTGGGATAGGGTTAGGCACCTAGGTCAGAATAGTGGGCGGCAGACGGACGGGCGGCCGTGTATCTAAGTCAGTCGGGATGGGGCCGGCGACCTACCCAGAGCAGTCATTGGAGGAGTGAAGAGGTGGGAAAAAAGAAGGGAATGCATGCACATGCTTTTTTACATCACGTTCTGTACTGATGAGTGACGACATGATGAATGGTTTTGCTATGAGTGCTGTTAGGATGATATTGCAGGAGAAATGAAAGTCAAACGGATAGCATAGATTTCTGGCACAGACACTAAGCTCTTTTAAATTCCCACTGCTTTGCAAAGATGACTATATTACACAGTTGTCACTGCCACGCCATGCCATGTTGTCAATGTTGTACTTATCTCTCAATAGATGGCGCTAGTGTTAATACCTGCAAGGTATACTGTACCGCATAACATATGACTATAACCGCAGCATTCCGCGGCCTCGGTTCAGGACTGCGACGATATGAGATAATGTTCGGAACCTTTTTGGGTGCAGACTGTCCACTGAGCTCCTGCTCCTTGAGACACATGTCGGCTGGTTACCTTCAAGAAGAAGTACCAAGGATGAACGGAACGGATTCTGACGTGTACTTCGCACACTTCATCGGCTTCTTTTGACCAGCTGTACCCTGAATATGAATGTACTCTGAATACCGAGAAAGCATTAGGAGAGTGCTAGACTATTCTAGGTTGAGAGCTAGGCTAGGCTAGGATTAGACACAATACCAATTAGAGAGTAGCTGCGGGTCTAGCGGTACTACGTCTCTGACTGTTCTGTTGCCACCGTTACAGCACGTATCTGAGCTGGACGCCAGCTAGCTGGCGCTGAGTGAGGAGCGGATCCAGCCGTACCGTGTCTGACATCTCTGTACCGTTTCAGCACGTATCTTCTTTGAACGCCAGCTGGCTGGCACTCAGTGAGGAGCGGATCCAGCGGCTGGGCGATGCGGCCGAGAGGCGCAGTCAGAAGGTCTGGGAGGAGCTCAGCCGGCGGATTCAGTCGGCCGCCGAGAACCAGCGCCGCCTGGAGCGCGGCAGACGCGCGCACGCCGCCGTCAAAAGGTACGCACGCAGTCGGCTGTACTCTGCGACTCATGTGTCATCTAGTTCAATATTTTGTTGGTGGACTCACCGTTACTTCACGACACTGGCTGTTTAGAGAAGCCTGATTGCAATATGATTTATAATGCTATGCGTTTACCACAGCTGTTTTTGAATTCCTGAAAATGTATATCAGCTTCGCCCTTAAGTCTTTGCTGGATAACTGGTAGACCCGGCAGATTTCAACATTTCTAGTTTCAATTCGCATGTCTCTAGCCTTGATTTACCATAGTAGATAGGCTATATTCAGTCGCCCATCTCTCCTCACAGCGCGACGGAGAGCGAGCGTCGCCGGCAGGCGCGGGAGGCGCGGCAGCGGCAGCTGCAGCTGTCGGCTGGCCGGGGGAGGGAGGCAGCTGCCCGGCTGCAGCGGGACCAGCAGCGGGCCGAGCGGGTCGCCCGCCAGCTGGCGGAGAGTCGCCGGCTGGCTGTCAGTCGGGAGAACCTGACCAGACAGAGCAGACACCAGCAGGCACTGCGACAGTGAGTGATAGAGGATAAAGATAGTGGCAGGAGAGTGATAGTGAATAAGCGACAGGGGGCTCTGGAGTCTGGAGGGAAGGGTAACAAAGCGACATGCTGGGAAGGAAGGGGTACTCGACGCTAGGGGAAATGGAGTGGTCTCATGCTGAAGTAACTCCAACCTTATCGTGTGCTCGACTGCAGAACGCCAGGTTATCTTTCATCATGACTAAAAGGTTGCTTGCATGATGTCTAAAGGAACCTGATATAATTTGGTAAGCTCGTTGCAAACCTAGAATCGCTATTCGCTGCGTCAGGGACTATTTTGGGTAGCGTGTTTACATGACAGGCTCCCTGTTAGCAGAATGATAACTGTTATGTCTGCCTTACAGTATCCGTCAGATGGAGGAGCAGGTGCTGGACGAGGCGCGCTTCAAGCTGCGCCTGGACGAGGCCCGCGTGGAGCAGTTTGTACAGCAGCGCGACATGGCCGTCATGTCGTCTCGGCACCTGGCCCACGTGGCCGCCAACCTGCGACAGGCTGTCAGGTGAGGCCGTAGGTTAACTACAGCTGCGGTGTCATGGGTTGACACTGCTGGGTCATTTCCTGCATAGCGGGGCGCGACTGCCGGGGTAAAGGGAGGGTCTGTTTACTGTTATAAATATGTGGCGTGTCACGTATCAGTATGGCATTAGCTGGATGTGATATTTGGTTCACATGTAGCGAATCCGGCGGAGCGGCTTCCCGTTACTCGACTAGGTATACAACAGATCAGGGAGATGTCCGTCCTAGCACTCACCGAGATACGGTTTTTGCGGTGCATGACTCCTCAAACGAACGTTCTAAAATCGTTCTCCGCTATTATCTCACGTTCGTTCACCTCACCCCCAGGTCAGGTGACCGGTCGGCCACATTTGACCGGATGGCGGCGCGGGCCGACCTGGAGAGCCGTGTGCTGTACGGACCTGCCCACGCCGGCTGCGACAGGCTCTACAGACCCCGCTCACAGACCCATATCCTGTAATCCGTAACCCTGGGTAAGTGGGGTGGCTCCAATAAATAATTGATTTGGGTATGTGGCAATAGCTGGAAGCCGTCGCAGCAGTCTATTACATTTAGCAGGTCGCATTTAGCAAGTTAGCAAGTCTTTAGTCGCATTTCGTGGATTGGTGCTGTTTGCATTTTATTCATTCCAGCCTATCAGAAGAATCAGCTCCGCGGATGGTCGACCATATTATTTGATGTGTGTGTCTGCCTTATGGGCTGGATGCTTCTGTAAGGAATCTTCCAGGATATGAAGACCGGATGATGGATATTGTAATTAGTCAAACGTACGATTGTTTTTTTTTCTGTATGTGATATCAACTTGATCTGTCGCGATATTGGAGAGCTTGCTATATTTTGTTGTCCTCACACCGACGGCTCTTGCCGGCGGTGGAATGTTTTGTGTACGTTTTAGGTCGCTTTGTCCCTTTGTCGTTTGGCACTAAGGTGCTATAATTATTGGTCATTTTTATTTAAGCATTCAGCACTGAACAGCTGATGTATGTGATGTCCTGTGCAACAGCTCATTTCCATTCTAAATGTTTATGTGTAGAGCATCGAATCGATCAGTGTGTTCGCACCGGACACCTTTTTGACGGACGAAGGACTCGTGTGCAATATGTGAAAAACGCATTAACCAGCGTTGGGTGTTAGTCACTGTTTTTGGGCGCCGTGTTATGTGCCCGGTGACTGCCGTCCGGTGCAGAAGAACGCGTACAAACTGAGGAACCATATCACTGCCACCCGCAACGTACGGGCTTCGTCTGCTCGTCACCTTTGGGCGACTCTTTAGTGCAATGATGGCGCTTCCTCACATTGTGGAGGCATTTCCACCGCTGAATGTCTGTCGTTAGATGATTGTGTTGTGATGTGGTCCGTCATTGAAAGAAATACAGCTTTTGTAGAAATCTGGTTATCTTCAGGCTCGGAAAGACGCATTGGTTCACAACTTGATTTCACGCTGAAACTGCGGTGTGGTGATAGTAGCTGTGTGCCCGGAGCATTTGTGTGAAAGCCCAATGCAGCCAAGGTCCTAAAACTATTGCAACGGTATCGAATTATCTTATAGCTCATACAGCCACTGAATTCGGCAAGCTGCGTAATCCTAGCTCAATTGACCGCGCCACGGGTTAGCCTTTTCGTTTTCCACTTCACTCTTATTCAACTAACACACTCAACTTCGCTAACAAACCAGGTCCACAGTTCAGACAACCTATATTAACAAGGATCAGCATAAAGGCATTATGACACACATAATTAAGGACTGGGCCCGGCCGTGCGCCGGCTGACCCGCGCCGGACCCGCTATAACCCCCACAGCAGCCGGCTCCCACAGTTCGTACCTGTCGCGACCACGGCCTCTGTCCACCGGCAGCCCCGCAGTGGTTCTGGAATGTTGGGGCGGAGCCCGATGTCTGATAAATCGCGCAGCACCTTCCCTTAGCCACGACTCGGCCAGACATGACCTCCTCGCGCTGTAAGATGGACTCACCCAGTGAGTGCGGTTGGAACGAGACTGAAGTGGCAATGGGAGAACAGACAGTGGTCGAGCTGCCCCAGCAATAAGCCTCTTGTCCTAGTCGGGCACGCCCGTTATGGAAAACGACACGGGTTCCGCGGCTCTAGAATGCCACCGAGAGCTTCCTGGGTTTCAGCGACCATTCCATCACAAGACCGCTCCTTTCATGCGCTGCGAAATCCGCCAATCAACCGGCCAGTGATCGCGGACTAAACAAAATTATGAGTAATTTGTACACATGGATTGCGGTCAGTGGATAAAACATTTCTCTTCGCGCGGCGCGGGTCGTTGGAACAGCGGCGGCGGCCCTATTTCGCCGCGAGTATCAATCACGTTTTCTCACGTTTTCCTGGCGCGACACACGCACACACCTATACTGACTGTTGGGCCCGGTGGCAAACTAACACCCGTCGTACCTGGATCGAGCAGTGGCCGGGTCCGGCGCCCTGCCCGCCACACCACCGTATCACGTTACTAAGCACATCACAGACGCCCACAGTACACACCCCGCCCCCACCCGCACACGGATAAACACGAGAGAGAACGCCGGCGTCGGCAGTCAGGTTTGATTTCCAGTCGGAGTGATGAGCCGGCGGCCGCTAGTTGTCTCCGCCGGCCGCTACGGCGGTAGCGGCGCCACCGTCGCCGGCCGCCGCGGGCTTGGAGACTCCGTTGGTGGCCGGGGTAGAGTTGGGCAGAGCGTTCTCCTCGCTGCTGCTGCTGACCTCCTCACTGGAGTCGCTTCGGGAGTCGCCCTGGATCTGTGAACAAGCCGACGATAGCGGGGAGTCGTTAGAGATCGGGAACAGGCGGACTGGGGTCTCAGGGCACTGAACGCAAATACTCCGGACTTCGAAACGATGATATTCGGGTCAGTTGTGCAAATTGCACTGAGGTGCAACAAACTAACTTATACGCTACGTACTATTGGAAAGCTGAGTACGCGGGTGCAAGTCTTGTCAACAGCCAACAACTCACATCAGAGCTATTGCTGATTTTACAACCTTTAAAACCGCCACCCGCATCTTTTCAACACCGACTATCGGTCGCCATCGGCGAATGAGCCTACACAGTCGCCCAATACCCACACAGTGCCACTCCCATATAGACTCCCATTCAGGACCCTCCCAACCCCTGTCGTGCCCCGCCTCCCCCTGCAGCGCAGAGACCCTACCTGTCCGGCACTGAGGGCCTGGTAGGCCATCAGCAGGATGTAGTAGGTCCAGATACAGTGCAGCACCAGCAGGCCTATCAGCATGCTGTTGAAGATGTAGTAGGCCGGGAAGAACTCGACGATGTAGGTGGCGTCGATGGTGGTACTGTGGATGGCACGCAGACACACTGTCATATGTGACATGACAAGGTCGAGCTGCGGCGTCCGCGGCCAGATGGCCCAGCCAGGGCGCCATACCACTGCCGGTATTTGGACACGGAAGAGAAATGCGTCTAGGCTACTGACAGACATAGACACTAACACAGAGCGTGTAACGAAACCGAAAAACCGAACTTGACACCGATATTTTAATGCAAAAAAAAAAAACACCTAAGCCTTGTCACGGCTAAAATATTGAACTACAAACTGAAAATCAAATGATTAACAAAACAGCTCTGGTCAAAACAATTTATGTTCATTTCTTTAAACATGGATCAGGTTAACAAAGAAAAAGACAAGAGAACGGAAAAAAACGAAAGCAAGGATACGAGAACCTCTAAACGCACGATGCAGTCAGTGTTCCCAAACCAGACGGATTGGCTATCCCTCGTCAGGAGCGCAGGTGGCATCGCAGAACGGAAAGGACAAAAGATGAAACAAAGTTTCGGGTAAAAGACAGAGGGTAGGGCAAACATGAGCATATGCTAGTAATGATAGGTACTAAACAGGCAATGAAATAGGAAGGAGGGCGCGGAAGAGAAGAGACAGGGCACATAGGTATAGGGAAGGGGGATGAAGGAAATGTGAAAAATGAATATGCGACGAAACCGAGGTTCGGACACGGAACTAAGGTCAGGTGGATTAGGTTCATTACAGGTATGGGGTGAAAGAGCATATAATACAAAATAGCAAAGGCATACGAGGGCGGCAATATGTACATTTTAAAATATACATGTGAATTGTGATATACTATCAAGCAATAGTAGTATCAAGTATCAAGCAATATTGTGATGATGAGGATGGCGCAGTTAAATTCTTAGTGTAGCGTAGTACTCGTACACAGATGATCGTGTCCTCCAATAAGGCATAAGCTAATGGTTAGATAAAGACGGTAGCTTCCTGTAAAGCGGTAGCAGTACAATTGTCTTTTACAACATAGTTAAAAGCTAGAAATGGCTCCACAGTTTGTGAAATGTAGGTTTAGTTATCAACGACAGCGTAATTCATACACATAGCTTAGCAAATTTGTGACACGCATTTTTACATGATCGCGTTAGGACGCTTAGTTTGCTTTGATGTAAAGTGTTACCATAAAAATTTCAGTTGCAGAAACCCGCTGCACATGATTTCCTTCTCTGCAATGATAACAGACGAAATCGGCGAAAATTTGGATCCTGTTTGGTGTTTCAATGTTGACGGCAACTACAGCAAATTGCAGCTGGTTTCTATAGTAACCGGACCTTGGCAAACACGGTTATCCGGCATCATTGACAACTCTTTGAAGCCGTCTGATTGAAATGTTTCCAATGAGCACCAATAGCTTGCGTTTGAGAGTTGTCAGCGTCTTCAAACACAGAAGCATGACAACGAACAAAATTAAGGCATGACAAACCCACGAGCGAGCAAGTGGCTGGCAACTTTATCAATCTAACAGGAGCAAGGGCTGACTATTTATACGGTCTACCAGCCAACCATGTCTGACACTGCATGGCCTGCATGGAACTGAAACGCTCATTAGTCATTACATTTCTAGCATCACATTTCTAGAGTTAAGACTGACAACGCCACGCATCACCCAGCCTGAGATAGGCAAGTCTGTAGGTTAGAGGGGGCTGTGCAGTGTAGTAGATCACACGCGCACACCGCCAAACGCACGCACACACGCACACAGCGAGTCTCTGTGAGTGGGTTAGCCGGGAGGAAGGGCAGAGGCGCCGTCCCCTGTCTCCGAGGCGTTAGCGTGTCCAGGTGAGACAGCAGCATCGAGCCCATGTTGTGTCATGACCAGCACCGCGTCCATGAGCAGACGGGGAGGGCATAGACAGAGAGAGGAGAGAGCGCGAGAGAGAGACAGAGCCGCGGGAGGGGCGGCCACTGCCGGCTCGGCCGCCGCCGGCCCACCAGTCTGAAAAACGGACGGACGAGGGGCTGATGTGGTGTGGCGAGGACTGAAAGGACGGGGTGGGACAGGCCGGGCCGGGCTGAGGCCGCCTTCGGGGCACCACCCCACCAGAGGACCCGACCCAGGGCGCCCCATACCCCGACAGAGGGCGTTCCAGCCGCGGCCGCACTGACTATCCGGTCCAGTTAGGCAGGAGCGGAAACGGATAGGGTGCACGGCCAGAAGGCAGGAGCAAGCACCGTAAGGCTCTGGTCCCCCAATTTTGTTATCCCATGAACAAGGAATGCGACAAAACAAAATTTGACAATCCCCTCCAGTCTTACATTTTATTACAGAACCCGCCTGCATGCATTATCATTTGGGAAGGCTGGAGGCCTACAGCGGCTTTTAAAGTTTGCTGCCCCACAGCTAAGAATAAGTTCCAAATTGTTCTAAGAGAGAACGGACCTTCTTTGCGAGCCTTTGGTCCCAGGCTACGCCACTTATCGCACATTTTGTTGGGCAAGCCAAAGACCGGCTCTCCCGTTCGGTTTACTCGTCCAAAGACCCTCATTCAGAGTTCAGTTTCATTTCAGCGTCACTGCCTGCGCTGCTGACATCAGAGGCGGGGCGCAGTGAGTCCCCGGGCAGGGTCAGAGTCTGTGAGGGGACGGCGGCAGCAGCGTGTGGTTAGTGGGCCCAGCCACCAGGCAGACAGTTACATGACGGGTGCCACCGCACGCGCACAAACCGCGCCCCGAGCCAGACACCGGCAGTCGCGGCCGACCCGGAGACGCCAGTGGAATAGCGTAAGACAGAGGGCAGAGCGACAGACAGACGGACGGGCAGACGGACGGACAGCCAGACTAAGAGAGAGATAGAGAGAGCCAGAGGAAGAAGAGCGCCGGTCGGTGCGGCGGGCGAGGGGCGGCCGGCGCTCGCGGGCGGCTCGGCGGCGCTACTCACCGTTCGGGGGCACTCAGGATGGGGAGGCCGGTCGGCAACAGTGCACACGTGGGGGGCTCATCGAACAGGTACGTGCTGGAGACAGAGAGAAAGAGGCGCCGCAGCCGGCCGGCCGGCCGTCAGCCGGGCGGCGGCCGCCGGCGCGCGCGCGCCGCTGTGACCCCGACCCCGACCTGACCCCGACAAGACCCCGAGCCGACCCCGCCTGCCTCTCCTGCCTGCCCAGCCAGCCGTACTTAGATTACTGCTGCGCCGCCCTTCGCTGGTGCAATATGTGGACGCAAAGACACCCGAGGGGCAGAAAGGTAGCGCCCGGACTTACCTAATAGGCTGTACTTACCTCAATCTAGCGTTACCAGAAATGCGCCCAAAGTTAACAGAAAGCCTGATTATTATTTGGATAACATCAAGGGAAGTTGACTTGCGGATCGCAAAGTTAAAGGGTTATCATCTTTACAAAAGCAACTAGTGCTGAGTCAGGTCTCCGTATGGAAATAGAAAAATTCGTTTCGACTTCGCGACGAAGATACGCAAGTACCAAGGTTGATAACAATCGAAGCATTTTGAAAAACAAACTTTTCAAGACATCTGCAAAAAACCTAGGGATTGCAGGCTTCTCAAAACGAGCCATTTATGGGAACATGAAGACCTGAATCAACCACATAGTCATGTAAAAATGGGGAAGAAAACCCTTTTAGCGACATCCTGAAGCCCACAGCCAGCGTCGAGTCCGGGAAATGCCTTTTATTCAAATGGTTAAATAAGCCTTAATGATCTTACATCTCATTTCAAAACGGTGGCCCGAAAGTTGGCTGCGTTACGAGAAAGAGCAGAAGGATGCAGGTATCGTGGTTCACAAAGGACGTTTCGACGCGACACCCAACGCCAGGCGGGTTGAAACCCCCGCCCGGGGCAGTATAGATTAGTACCTGCGAGCGACGCGTTACCTCCGCCCGAACCAAGCAGTGAGACAGTGCCGCGGAAATAATGACTGGACTGATCTGTGCTCCGACGACCTTCGAGTGACATCCAGTGACCTCCAGTGACCTCCGGGGACCTCAGGGGACTCACCAAACGACCCCAGTGCAGGACCCACTCCCCAGCCAGTGCCCCGCACGAGAAAGGCGGCGTCAGCCAGCGCGGCAGGCAGGCAGGACGAGGCAGGACGGGACAGGTCGGGTCGGGTCGGGTCGGGCTGGGTCAGGTCAGGTCAGCAGGTCACAGCAGGGCGCCAGCAGGCCGGGCCAGCCGTGCTGTCAGCTGGCGCGTGATCGAACACGCGACCGTTCTGAAAAACAGCCTCAACAAAACAAACTCAACCAAACACTAGTCTACAGACAGGCAGAGTGCGAAATGCTGAGTGCAATACGCGCGCGAACAATCGGGCGGAGGGCCTTACGACCAGGCTCCGCATATGTCTAGACGGTGTAACAGTCAGACATTCGCGGCGACAGGCACATGTATGACCGGTGGCGTCTGGCCGCGGGCCGGGCCCCGGCGCGCGTGCAGCCACTGCCGCCCCATGCGGCCGGTACGGGCCCGGTCGGCCGGAGCCGCCAGCGCGGTGGGCCGGGGGTTTGGTCCCCGCCCGCGGCGGCATGCGCTTGCCAGTCCTCCGCCTCGAGCACAGTGCACACTCCAGTCACCGTCACCAGCCCAACACAAACACGCCTCTAGCACAGTGCAGTCTCTGTCTCAGAACACCCACGCACAAACGCATAGACACAGACAAGTGCACACGAGACCACGACGCGTGAACAACCCTCAAGTCAGACCAATGACTCTGCATCGAACCGTAAAATACACCCCACCCTCGATCACTGACCCTGATTACACAGCTGAAGACACAGACAACTATGGACACTACACATGGCACGACACCACAGTCGCTGACACAACAGAGTCCAAAGGATTTACTTCGTAAGCATTTTGTAAATGTCAACACTCCACACAACCTACCACAGCCAATTCTATTTTTTTTCAACACCACTACCGCATCCCATGCTTTTTTTGCAAAAATATACGAAGTGACGCTTGTTTCCCCCACGAAAACGAATGCCAAGACTGGAAGACAATAAAAAATGTGATTGATAGAAACCAATATGCCATGAAAAATGACTCACGTTTCAGTGATGCATGTGAAAAATATGTAGTTAGAAGTTGCAATGCCATGTATTTGCACAGAGGTTAGTTGCTATGCAAGGCACCTAAGGTGTCAGGAAGAACCGGAAGGTGAACCATTCCACTTAATGACATTGAAGAAAAAATAACCCACATCTAATGAAGAACGTCAAAAAATTATCATGCCTGCTCGACTAAAAGAGGTAAAAGAATACACACTGAAACACGATAACAGCGGCCAAAGGGCACCGAAAACTATTAAGAGCTTCACAACCATGAATAACATGGTGTCATGTTCACAGTTATCACACCGCGGGACAACCCACCATCAATCGACACAGGTATCACGTGACCAACCACTGCTAATCACCACAGTGTCACGTGACCAGCCACCAACAAAAATATCAAGTGAACTCAGCGCCTAGTTTCTAATCAAACGTGCAGCCCAGCACCGATCATGACCTTGACCTACGACCTTGACCTGGTCACGGGTCACGGCACATGCAAAGCCGACGCCGCTTAATTCCTATCAATATTTAGAAAAAGAAACGGGAGCTGACAGAGCTACAGAAAGAGAAACACAGACAGACAGACAGACAGACAGACACAGCGGCTGCGGAGCTGGGAAGCAGTATGACGACTGCGGCGGCAGGGGCGGGGGCGGAGGCGGTGCCCTACCTGTACAGGATCCAGCCCGGGTAAATGCCCAGACGGGTGACTATCCAGATGAGCACGAACACGGCAAACGTGACGTCACACAGCATCTGCAGCTGCAGGTACTTGAACATCTTGGCGCCCTGTCGACAGCGGATGCAGGGGGCGACTGAGTAAGAATGAGGCTTATCGCGATAAGGGGTGGGAATGATGGCAAAGTAGAAGGGGATGGTGAGGGCGAAAGGCGCACAATACTACGCTGCTGGTCGGGACAGCCACGGTGGCCAGCTCACGTGTGGTTGCACTGGTGAGGGAAGGGCCGATACGGACACTAGCGCCTGTTCTATGCACTGCACACTGCACAGACCTTTCTGGACGGAACATTTTCCAGCGATTCGACAATCACAGACAACTTTATATCCCTATCTGTCACCTCACACTTACTTCGGGTCTGTAATACCTAGAACACATTTTCTTGCCTTCCTTTCTGACAAGAAACCTTCCTTCATACCTCAGATTGGTATGAAGCGAACGCATTTTCAGCAAAATCTTCCCTCAATTCCTATCCCACATCCTGGAATGTTCTCTCAACTGATATCTGCCCAAAATAAGACTTTATCCGTCCCTGCACAGATAACGGTTGTCGACACCATCTCCCCAGATGCCTAAAGATCACACTCTGACTGCAGTGCCACTGAGTGCTGCCCCGCCTCTCCACCCCTCCCTCCCAAGTTCACAGAGTTTCATCGCCCCAGCCAGAGACACGCTATGCCGTTCCCTACAACCCCACATCTCCCGGGTTTTGCAGACGCTGTATCCCGTCGGCCCAGACCCAGAAGGGAAGAGGGGGGTGCCCCAGCCCCTTCCGGTCTGATGTGATCAGCAAATAGTTCACCTCAGGTCACATTGGTCCGGTCAGAGTCGGGGGTGGCAAGGAGCCAGAGAGCCCGGCGAACGAATTCTCCAGTCTAGGAAGATTCATCAAGCTGTCTACCTCTTGCAGAAACCATCCAAGGCGCCGAATCAAAAATGAATCGCCTCTGATTTGTGCCCATTGAAACAGGGTGAGAGTGGGAGCTATCACACTCCCTTATAGCAGCATCGGCCTTTTCATCTAGTCATGAGACCAGCTGACCTAAGGTGTCTCCCCACAAATGCGCCCACAAGAACCATGCAAAACAGTGTTGACAGTTCTAGGTGCCATTAGCGTAGACACGGTAGCTTCAGCATGCAACAATCACGAGAGGATCCAGTCTCCCACAACACAGCCATGCCTTATGAATCACGTAGCCACCCACACCCCCTGTCACCCGCGCTCCTAACAACCCAGACATCCGATCGACACCTATTATCAGGCCATTACCCGGCAGTAAGTGACACTCGCTAACAACCTTCTCCCATTATAGTGCACTCTCAGTCAGGGTTTAAGTGTCCCTAAAAGACCCGACAGTCGGCCGCTCATCCAAACAGCAGTCAGCTGTGGGATGATTTACGCGACAAATAGCAGCAGCGTCCCAGCGCGTCATAAGGCGTCACATGTGATAGAGGCAAGTCACAGCTGTCGCCCGGTCCGCTGCGATTACCATAATTTGGAACGATCATGCCGTCGGAGCGCTCATTTCCGCCTCATGTAGCTACGACAAAGGGCCGGGCAAGGCAGCACGGGGACGGGGAACGGGCGGCACGTGGTCTAACCCCCGTCGCTGGTTGCGAGTAGCGAGTAGTTCTCCACCGTGGCGCGGCCGGGCGGACAGATTGTCGCCTATCTGAAGAGGCCGGAGATAACTCTGTAGCATCTACTCTGCACTGAGCAGATACCGATCGTCAGAGGCCCTCAGACAGAATTGGGGAGGGGAGTTCTGTTGTGGCGTCGTGACCCGGGCTATAGGGTACGCGCAGTTACCCGTCGCAATCGCATGAGCAGTTATTCAGTCGATCAGCTGTGAAAGATGCACCTGATACTTAGACTTCTGTGATACACAATACAGACTAGACTCTGTCCTGATAACTGAAAGTTAGTCACGTCACAGGGCCGGCAGACAAGCGCAGACCACCAATGTAATGAATTTGTGAACGAAATTATCGCTTATTATTTCATAATCACAAGGTGCAGGCTACCAGTCATTATCCAGAAATAGCCCTGTAATCAATCTACATCTTGAACGTCCTATTCAATACCCATCTACTATGGGTGCTTCAATATGTAATCGGTGACAAAGAATCCATATACGCAGCGGCTGTTAGTCAATACGGTAGGCGGATCCTTTCTTGTGAATAGCTGAATGGTGTCTCGAACAGCAAAAAGCCGATCAGTGTGTGCGTTTTTATCCGTCGCAAAAACTGCATTCGGTTGTTGGTGAAGGCGACGTCACAGAGATTTTTGCCCCTGTTTCGACGGCCGATTATGTCAGCCGGCAGAGGGAACACTGCTGTTTCGTGTCACCTACTGAGTTGAGCGCAGCGGCCGACAGAGCGATTGTCATGCTAGGCGTTTATCTTCGTAAACTAGACGTTACAGCCACTCAAAGATACATCGACTTATCAGGCATTCCCCTCAAAGATCAAGTGCCCGAGTTTAGCTCCCAGCACCATCCCGAGGTGGGAAAGCAAAGTAGAACATCACATCCTGTGGTCAGTGCTTTCACGGACAGCTAATTTAGGAGTTTCAAGCCAGCTTTCGATGTTTGAGATGAGATGGATGCAAAGTTTGCTATCAAGGACCAATGAATAAATCATATGAGACCGAGATTACCTGAAGACAAAGCCGGTATTTTTGGACGAGTACGCCGCCGGACTGAGTTAGATACTGAATTACGCCTATGGCAATGCGTCATGGGCACTGCAAGAATAAGTCAGATTAAGTTACTCTTTAGAGAAGAGCTACATAGAGCGATGTGAAATCGCTCACTTTTGTGCTATTTCGCTTGGTGCTTTGCATTCGATCTACAAACTCACAATGCGTATGAAGCCACACTAAATCACACCACTCAGCAACAAACTAAAACCGACGAGACTGAGCCGGCTCTGTCCAGCTTTAACCAGCACTGACCGCCCAACAGAGCCTTATGTCCGGTGTGAGCCGGTACCGTCAGTGCTCTGGGGGGGGGGGGGGGGGGACTGGGTGGCACTTTGTGAGGAACTAACCAGCAGGAAGATATCAGAGATGTCGTGTACGATGAGCGTCAGCGTGCCGATCCTGGTAAAGTTGCACGCCCAGGAGAACGACAGCAGGCTGATGGTCACCAGGTGGTGCAGCAGCATCTCCCAAAAGTCCTACAGACAAGACACACTTTGTTAAAGTGATATGCCAAGACGACCAAAAGGTATTATAGAAAAACATAAGTAGGGCATAAGAGAAAACAAAAATCAACGCAAACGTTAGCAGATAATTACGTGAATACCATTTCTGAAAAGGCTTGCAAACACAGTCTTCTTATAGCCGGCGGATAGTGGTTTATGGCGGGCCCAAACTCCTGGCTACATGCGTTCCAGACAACAAACGCGGGCACAACAGCGACAGATACACTTCCCACCTCTCGAAATATATTCAATTTTTGAGCCGCATGCACGTACGGCGACCGTGGGTTATAACGTTATTCATTGCACATTATCATTTCATCCACGCGACGACGACCAAAGCTTAAGGTACATCCGCGGCAGAATCTGAAGCAAACAGCCGAACATTGTGTTACGGATTAACAGGTAAGCCCCCATCTCTTCCGTACCTTATGTTTGACGTCGAAGAAGTGCCGCAGGGTCATAGACCAGTAGAAGCTGAGCGACAACATGTAGTACCACCACACGTCGTTATCCATAGGCTGAAAGAAAGCAAAGGGTTATCAGAGCATCCCATAAATGTTGGTTGGTTTTGAAACATATTGTCGAATGAAAAGATAATTAATGTATAGAAACGGCTAAATATAACTTGTAGAAGGCCGACACCTTGCCATCGATTGTTAGTTTTGAAGAAACAGTGATGCAAAAATTATAACGTGATGCGGTTTGTGCGCAAAACTATTACTGATTTCTCCACATTTATTATAATTATCTTGCTTGAAGATGCCTCAAATAACACGAAACATAACGTAATTGGTCATAAAACAACGTAACTCAAAGGATTACCAGCATGTCACGGTGCAAAATGCATAGCATGTCACTGATAACGGTTTATTATTCAAAGGTTACATTTAGCTTCTAGGAGTGCTCGGTGAACTGGCCGGAAAATACACATGTGTCTTCCATATTTAGCGCAGACGCGCCGCCCTAATGAATGTCGCCGCTGGCGAGGGCGATGAGCTGCACTGTCAGCGAAGTGCGGTAACACCTGCCCACGGCTTGTTATGTGTGTCGCGCCGCCATGCAAGCTTTAGTGACGGTCGTATAACTAGAGCACACATGTCAGCAGATCGCCCTGTCCGCTGTTATTGCGCTGAGACAGTGCATTGCTGTTCATGGGTGGACCGCCTGCCCAGAATTCTGGCACACAGTGCCCCACACCTCAGTAAACTACGTCAGCGAGTAGCGTCTCAGCCCTCCACAGCCAGTTCCGGCCCGCACCTCGGACCGAACCAGCTACCCAGTCACGAACAGACCCGAGGCGCCGCTGGACGGCACACACCACCGGGTACACACACTCCGACGACACACTCCCCCGGGTCGCAGGCCGGCGTCGGAGCCGGCCGGCCGACCCAACAGGCACGACAGACATTCCCGACAGACGCACGAAACCGATCGGTCAGCGCGGAACGCGACCCACCCACGCCGACCGGTCAGAGCGCCGGCCACGGGAACTGTCGAGCAAACAGCGCAATGACTCCCAGTCACGTGCCAAATAGGACGGGCTATTCTGAATGGCGCTCACGCCCTCAGTGGTCCCCATTCAGGGCGCGTGCCACTCGGTCGATAGCGCATTGATCAGACAGACGAACGGTCGACAATGACCAGTGACGGACGCTGTCGCGGGCTTCGGCGATAGACGCCGCCGCTCGATACCATTCAGGAATGGGCAAAAGGGATAGGAGAATAAACAGCACTACTCCTTTTGATGCAATATGATGGCCGGGTAGGAATCTACGACACATTCCGTTTCACACGGATTCAAAATGTACGCCTCCACATTTTGTGACATTAACTAACACGTAAACATCAACGTAACCCCGATAAATGACACTATAGTTGCAGACTCATCAGACCCCTCCCCCTCCCTCGGCGTGCCACGCCCACCCCCCGGCGGCCGGGCGGGGTGAGGGGGGGGGGGGCGTGGCGTGCCGGGTTGGCGTGGTTGGTTTCCATAACCGTAAAGGCACACACGGCCGGCCGACCGGACGACCCCAGACCGGCGCCCGCCGACCGACCGACCGACCGACCGACCGAAGGGCTAACCGTAGACGGGCATGTGCACTGGACGGGGATAGCTCCCAGCGCGCAAAATGATCGGAGCTTTAGCGGGGGGAGTACAGCGAGAGCGGGCCAGTAGACACAATGCCTCACGAGGATGCGGAAGCCTATCAACGAACCAATTCCTCGAATTATTCTACGAGACATTGAAAAACGGAGGCATCTCCCTTCGCATGTATCTCGTGTAGACTCACTCCCAAAATAAACTCAGACCCGCTTGGAGCATACACATTAATGAAAGCATATATTATGAAAGATTCCATTAAAAATGTATGGGCCAGGTGGGAAAGCATGGACGGACTACCGGCTAAGTAGCCGGAAATTCCTGTTACCTATTCATCATGGGAGCAAGGTTCCAAAAACGATATAATCGATGATCCAAGCAATGTCTGTCGACTCTTGTAGCACATTGCCAGACCACATAAGTATCGGAACAACAGGTGACGTGGGTTGCTAGTTACGCGACCAGGTATTTCAGAAACAGTTGTGATAGGAAATGCTTCGATATGCAACATTGTTACATTCACGGTCGAAGCCTGATCCACCGCTAGTGCTGTCATCATTCATATGGCATCAGCGCCGAAATCAGAGGACACTGAAGAAACCACGTAATTTTTGGTTTGGACAGGTCCGAAGAGTGCCTGTACCTGGGACTTGTCAACCGTAAACTACAACCTGCGATTAAAACGAAAGACGATACATTCATCAGCGGAACGCATATCAACGAGGATTCAAAACTAGGATGTGTCGTCGTGTGACACTGCATACGGAGTCCGCGCGTGCTGCATCTCCACGATCGCGTCCCAGAAGCGCCCGCGCCGGGTACTCACGTGGAACGGCATGTTGTAGAAGCAGTGGCGGATCTCCCAGAACCAGGCCTTGTCCCAGAGGGTGTGCAGGCCATAGCAGAAGATAAACAGGTAGTAGGTGAACTGCCACCTGTAGATACAGCAGACACACGTCAGTAAGCTTCGATGAAGGGAAATAAGCGTTACAGACCAAGGTTCCAACAGCAAATGTGTTCAGACATGGACCTTGGGAGTGTGCTTCAGCTGGAAGACATTCCAGCTCCTCCGCAGTCCGCACACTTAACATCCTCCCACATTTATGTTCAGCAGCTAACATCCAAACACTAGGAAATCGCAAAAACACGTGGTCATACGATAGCACTACATACAATATACATCTGTCAGGATTCTACCATAGTCCAATCAAAACTTGGCCCAAACTACTCGCTCATCCCTAACACACCACACCACAACCCTTCCAGATTCCATTTCTCTTCTCTCATTCCATACCCTCCCCATTTCGCACATACAGGCAGCACCATAGGCTGGACTATTTAAATACACTGTGGCTGCACAAAACGTGCCTGGCCCAGCCGGGTGGTGTGACTACCCGTATCAGTAACGCCGGCGTCGAACTGGCATGCCGGTATATCGGCGTACATCATGGCATGCACGACACGTAGAAGTCCGTGCACTTCTACGAGTGCACAAGTGCAAAAGTATGTGCTAAGGTTCTTGAATACACACACTCCATCAAAGTTTCGATTGAGACACTTCTAAAATGACTTCTTCCGGGCAGGTTGGCATGCGTGTGTGGCCACCATCAAGTTCGGTGAAGTCATGACGACTACACAGGCGATGTGACCGGTTTTAGGTCCGAGTCGCATGCAATTTTGTCGATACGAGATTGGTTAAAAGTGTTGGTTCTATAGCATTTGGAAGGCGACGCTTCGTCACAACAGGTAAAACCCGCGCCCTGCTGGGGGGGGGGGGTGTTTGAACACCCCCCTTGTGGTTTTTCACGAATATCTCAAAAACGGCGGCGCTCCGCGCCGCCGTTTTTGGTACACCTTATCATACATCAATTCTACACATGTTGTGAAAATTTCAGACCAAGGTCATTCAAGGTCAGGTCACCAGGTCACTTGAAGTGACCTCACCTCATAAAAAGTTTCAATGTCTGTCATAGCTACACCGAGTGACCGATCGCTTTGAAACTTTCAGCGATTGATAAGGGTAACAGTATCTATAAAATGTATATCTCGGAATTTTGATATCGGTGACCTAAGGTCAGGTCAATTTCGCGACCTCCCCATTATAAGTCAATGGGAGAAAATTGAAATGCGACTCTTTTGGACGAAAGACATTATAAACACTCCCAAACACCGAATTACAAGTGGTTTAGACACACAGAACATGAAAATGGTGTCCGTGACCCTTGTTTATGCCCTGAGGTCATCTTAGGTCACGAATGGTATCTAACAGTTTTTCGCAAATAACTTTTGATAGAGGCATGCTAGAGCGATGAAAACGCCTTAGATGTGTTCAGCTCGACGATACGGATCGACTGATATGCAACATGACCATTTCCGGTCAGGTCATGACCTTGACCTGAGGTCAAATTTTCAAGTTGACCTTTCAAGGTCAAGTTATAGTTCATTCGATGCGTCTTGACGAGAGAAACACGATGCCGGTAAAAGTAAGCTCGTACAAAGCTTGGGTCAAAAGTTATTGCAGAAAAACTGTTTCCGAAAAAAAATCGGCTATTTTTGCAGTTTTTGCCCCCTGCAGGCAAAACCGTTGACGTTAGGTCAAATCTGAGAGAATTACTCAGAAAGGGCGTTAATAGGGCTATCGAATGCGCTTTTCCGCGGCGCTGTAGCTCTATTGGTTCCCGAGTTATGCGTTGGCTTCTTGGAAATTTTCGACATTCGACCTGGAAATCGGCGAAATTTCGCCTTCAATGACCTCTGGTGACCTGACCTTTGACCTGACCAAAAAAATGACCGAAGTGATTTCGTCATTATTTTTGACGCTCTTTCGAACGCCGCCTTCCGCGTATCGCTACGTGGCCCAGGAGCCGAGTTACAAGGGGGGGGTGTTCAAACACCCCCCCCCCCCAGCAGGGCGTGGAAATCCAGGACCCCCAGCCGGGCGCGGGTTAACTTGTGAAGTTTCCATTATCAGTTTTCTTTTTTACAGTAAACGGAACTGGCTGTCACGCTTACGCTTTGGCGGCATGGTAACCTAAAAACAGTGGTGCACTCGGGACTGCCATGATGGTCGTCACAACCCAACTTACGACCGACCTACCGGTGCATTGGCGACATACCCGCCCGTCCAGTAATGGGCTGGTGTTCTTATTTTGGATTGTATGGTGTACTGTGTACACACACTAAGGACAGTGAATGAAATATGACGGTCATTATATCTAGCGATAAAACGGGTGTATTGGTGGCTAGCTCAAGCCTCAAAGGAACACACTGCAGTAGCACAAAAAAATACTGCAAAAGGACAAGCTGATATTAAATATCCACGATACTCGAGGGATAATAATGAGCCGCACCACTTTTGTTCATTGTGCCATCAAATGTCATCAACCTCATCAATTTAGCAGAATCCATTCTTACCTAATTCGTCTCCTCTGTGATAAGAGAAGCTACCTGCTACAGCCGCCAGCAGATGCCCCGAACAGCCAATTATCAGCAGATTATTTCCCCACCCCATGCCCTCTACTCAGTAACCCCCCCCCCCCCATTCCGCTTCCTCTCCACTAGACCCCTCTGCTTCTGCTCTTCACCCGCGTCATTCACCCAAACCCTCTACTCCACCACAATCCACTCATCCTTCCTCTCCCCCCCCCACAACCCATTCACCCCTCTCTCCTGACCGTCACTCTGCCCCCGGGGCACGGCCGCTGACGTCAGAAAACCGTTCTCCGGCGTCCGCCCGTATCGATCTGGGGGCGGTGGCCGCGCGCGCCCGCCCGCCGGTGGTGCCATCGTGACGTCACTGCCGCTCCGGAGCCAGCCGCGAGAGCCTCGTGCTTCAGGTGTAGGGACGGAACGGAGGATACGGTCGAACGCGGTCTGATGAAAAATGTAGGGCTAGCGGTGGGTCAGGATGAAATGGACTGGAAGCTTAGATTTGGTTGGGTCGGGTGATGGGTCGCCGACCCAACCAAATTAACCCCTCCCCCTGCAACCCTCAGGTTGCATTGGTTGGGTCGAGTCAGAACCTTATGTCAAATTAGGCCAGTCGCCAGGTCGGGTCAGGCCAGGTTGAATTCAGTTAAGCCGGGTCAGTCATATCCGGTCGACTATCGGGCCTCGAGCCGGGTTCTATTGGATTAGGTCAGGCCGGCGGCCGGTGTCGAGAGCAGCCAGCACGTGACAGGCGCCGCTCGATGGCCGTCGATTTCCGATACGCGCAGGAAGGCACTGCTCGCCGCCGGCATGCGGAGAGGGTTGACGGCAAGTCGGCGGGTACTGAGGTCGGTACGAGCTGGTGGGGTCGATGGTATGGGGCAGTGATAGCGGGCAGCCCGGTCAAAGAACGCCGGGAGTGACGAAGTGCAATTTGGGTTGGGTCCCAAAAGTCCGCCTTTTAACCATATAACACATGGTCAGCAAGTAGTTTGTGAGCTGATTTTCAGTGCAGTTTAGCTCCACTCTTGAGGTAGCTATTAAACATGCCCTTCTGTCATCAGCAATCGATAACGATAGCTCCAAGTGCTGTCGTCGCCACCGGACCACACCCCTTCACGATGACTCACTGAATATCCAGTGAATCAGGCCGGTCTAACACAGTGGTGAGTTAGGACGGGGTGTCAGCCAACCAGTCACACCACGGCGCGAGCCCCCTCCCTCCACCACCGTCCGTCCATCCCTCCCCACAGCAACAGCTGTTGAGTGTTGACCCCTCCCCTCCCCTCCCCACCACGTGCACCCGCTCCCGCTGCCCACCGGACCAGGCCGCCGCCAGCGGCACCGAGCAATGGCGCCACCCAGGAATGAGGCCAGGAATGTCTCAGTCCGCGTCATCGGCTCTCCCATAAACCCGAGCCGCTCCTATGCCTCTGATGACGTCATAGGTTAACACAGAGCTCCCTGTTCACCGCTTTGCAATCGGGACACACATGCGTGCTCAGCGCCGCACTAAAGAACGCCGCACCGCGTCCGTCGGCAGTTTTTGTGCCGATGTGCCGGAGCTTACAGATGAGTCACGCCCAAAATAGCAGCCCTTGTTGCAGCGGCGCGTATATACTGACGTCGGGTTCTGCGTCATTATCTCCGAAAATAAGCCGGATCATAGCGGATCGATGAGCTAATTCCATGTTATGATCCCAGTGACAATATGAAGCTTTGTCCGCGTCTACCTTTATACAGTGTCATCCATAATGAGATATATGTGCGTGCCTGCAACGCGGCAGGAGCTATATGTATTAGGTATCAGTCTCAGCGAAAGCGTCGAGCGATATTCCAAACTGCAAAGAGCACTTACCGGACTTTTGTTTAATGGTGCTTTCGAGCGCACCAACTGCAATGGTCGTTTTCCATCCAGAATGCTTCCCGAACCTTTGCTGTCGTTCGCGCCCCGTGACACCAAACACCTAGTCCGCTAAAGCTTTCCAGGTCAGCGATCAGCCCACTAAACCACAGGGGACATCGCAGCACACGAGGACCAGGCACTACTGGACAAATCCCTCTTGGACAGACTCGCCGAGTCCAAAGTTCGCCGGTCAGTTCTATTCGGTTCGCCAGACGCTGCACAGACTTAACCTGTCCAATATCTTGTGCCACTCGGAGAGTTCTGTTAGCCTCGAGTACCAGACAGCCTCAGACAGGTCGGGCTTGGTCGGTATCTCATAATTAGCTCACTGAATGAGCTGCACGTTCGACTCACCCGGTCTCTGTGAAGCGGGTGAGCTTGTTGGGCGAGTCCTGCAGCTTCCTCAGCCGCAGCCACCGGTCCACCTGCCGCTCCGTCCAGTCCAGCTCCTTGGCCAGCTGCCGCACCTGGCAGACACGCAGACACAGGCGAGGGTGATGAGTTGGGGTCTAAGCGCCCGGGTTACTGAAGTCATCGGCGCCCACATGAGTCTTATCAGCTACTGGTCTCTGAAGGAGTCCCGAATAGCACGAACGACTGATTAATTATTTATGTCGATAACAAAAAGTATGAATTGCATATTGCATCATCGTGAATAACAAACATTTCATATGAAATAGTACATAATTATGAGTTATGACACGACGGACACGAAATGGTGATACCATTTACAGTAAGACCACCTCTCTTCAGACTTCGACTCCATCAATCTCGCCCTCCCGTTCCCTTCGACCCTATCTACCAAGCGATCTGGTAATCCGTCAGTCGTCAAAACCGGCATGGGGGCGTAATTCGACCTTAGAACTACTGGATATCTCGGCAGTTAGTTACCTGTTTATGCGATACTCTCCGGCTTTTCCGGTAGGCGTCTTCAAGGAGTTCGTTGTAGGCGACCCGCTTGGGGCGCATCGCCTTCAAGCCCATAGACCGGCCCACCGGCGCCCAGATGAACCTGGGACACAAGAACAGACACGTGTCACAAGCGCTGTGACAACAGTCACAGCACGGCTTCAGCATGGTCCGTGACGCTCCTCATACGGAGAATGGTATTCGGACGTTCGTATGACGGAGTTCATCATATCGAATAGGGTACAATCAGCCTGCCGGTAACAAAGACTACAGAAATTTGTCACTCGGCAGCGAACAGGGATCGGGTGAGGCAAGGCAAGACGCAGAATGGTCAGCAAACAAAGGAACAACGCCTAGTGCAGGGGAGACGACCCGAATCGAATTCAGCGGGCGGACAAAGAACGATGGGTCGTGCAGATCGGCCCTGTGTGGGGCACTGATGGACCCCGATTGGGATGGCATGCATGCCGGAAATCGTGGCAGATGTATGTTCAACAAGACGGTGGTGTTGACACACCAGAGGGCCGTAACTGAATCAGGACATCAAGGCTATCGAGTTATTCAAGATCATTCGGTCAACAAGATTTAACACCATGAGCCGTGGTAAACAAGCCTTCATTTATCTTCCATGCTACCAGCGACATCTTGTTTATGGTTCCCTGGAAACCACGTAGCTTTTGATGGGTGATATTAAAGCAGCTACAAAGGTATCACACATTGTGCCATTGTTTTGGAAGAGCATTTACGAGTTCTATCTCAAAGAAATTTGCCTATCCTGGCGCCTCACATCTCCGCTTCCGTAAATCTGACGCAGTTTCATCATCAGCAAAGCGTGTTCTGTTCATAACATATCAGCGCTCGGGCACGTGGTCAGCTCTCCATCGCAATGTAAACATAGCGAGTGAAGCGCTGTCTGTAGGCGAGTGCCCGACTGCAAGCTGGGCCCTCACCCGGCCCCAGCGCGCTGAGAGGCCTGTCATCTGTAGGAGCACCAGTCTCAGTCGTCTGGCTAGTCGCCCCAGGCACGTCGTGATGTGGCAAAACCTCACAAAGTCGGCCTCAAGGGGTGCAGTTGGAGCGAACAAGAAGCGTCCAAACAAACTCAGCACAAACACACGGCGCGGGGCACGACTGCGCAGAGAGAACGGAACGAGGGATAGGGAGAAAGGGAGGGAGAGGGAGGGAGAGAGAGAGAGAGAGGGAGGGAGAGAGAGAGAGAGAGAGAGAGAGAGAGAGAGAGAGAGAGAGAGAGAGAGAGAGAGAGAGAGAGAGAGAGAGAGAGAGAGAGAGAGAGAGAGAGAGAGAGAGAGAGAGAGAGAGAGAGAGAGAGAGAGAGAGAGAGAGAGAGAGAGAGAGAGAGAGAGAGAGAGAGAGAGAGAGAGAGAGAGAGAGAGATCCAAACAGCAGGTGAAATAGGAGTAGGAGACTGTAGCACCTGTCATCAGGAGGAAAATGACGACGGTTACGCACATTGCACACACCACTGAGCCGCGACCTAATTAGGAGTCAGTCGCCACAAAAACCACATGCGCAGTGCGCAGTGCGCACGCCTCCAAATGCAAAGAGACGGTGCAAATGCAATGCACTGACGACCACGGTTAGCACGTTTGGGGCTGTCGTGCAGTCGAAAAAATCCCCTGCACCGACAGAGCCCATCAGTGATAAAATTCAACCGGGAATGTGAAGCACCAAACGGGGCTGAAGGGCCTACTGGCGGAAACATGAAACGTCAGAGAGCTCCAGCAAGACGGCATAGTCTGGAAACTACTTCAGCCACAGCAATGAGCTCAAAATGTTACTACATCGCTGCCGATGAGACTTCGCTAGAATTATTCGCTATATTTTTGACCGAACAGCACGATAGTGGAAAGTCCATGATGGATTGCAGCGCTTTATGATACATCGGCTTCCACCACAGGCTGCTTCCAGTTACCGAAGTTTCTCCTCCTATCCCTCGAGAGCCGCATCAATCTAGACCATTCAGCGTTATCTGAGCCTCTTGAGCTGGGTAACGGTAAAACAGCTGGCAGATACACTCGATCCGGGTCCTAGCTCGGTAGGTACTCTTTCCTTCTCTCATACACTATCCGGACCGTTCTCCCGAAGATTACTTTCGCAGGGGTCTCTCTCTCTCTCTCTCTCTCTCTCTCTCTCTCTCTCTCTCTCTCTCTCTCTCTCTCTCTCTCTCTCTCTCTCTCTCTCTCTCTCCCTCCCCCTCTCTCTCTCTCTCTCCCTCTCTCCCGTCACTGCCAGCCGTTCCAGGTTGGCTCTGTGCCGAGGTCGTGACCCGACGAACGCTCCCGCGGCCGCCGTGATACCGCCCGGCCGCGGCGGACCGTGGCACCATCACCCCAACCACCCCAGCACTCAGCAGGCGTGCCGACCCGACAAACACACCCGCCCGCAGCCGCGCGGCGGGCACGGACCGAGCCGGCCGGTCCAGGGGTCGAGGTCACGGCCGGGGGCGGGTAGGGGGAAAGGGGAGGGTCGAGTGGGTCACCGAGTGTCGACCGGAGGGAGGGTGATGATTTGGCCTTACGAGGCTGGGTTGTCTTTAGTAACTGGCTATTAGCCAGTTATCAAGGATGCAACATCTTGATTCCTCTTGCAAGAAAGAAATTGAATAGAAAGACGGCAAAAAAATACTCGATCGGGTTTACGAAGCCATCAAAACTCCAAAATACACTCAAAATATACGGAATAAAGTGAAATTCCATAAGAGGATAAGCAACTATTAGCACTCAGTGTCCGAAAAATTCATAACTAGCAAAGGTTACCACATAAAGAAAGCTGTCGAAAGATCGTGTCCTTTACTTTTGTGCCATTTAACTCTAGACCAAATTCGTGGGCCGGTGAGAAGACATGGTGACAAAATCAATGACGGATATCTTTGATAATTTTAATGGTTACTCCAATTATCATACCGAGACCCAAAGTTAATACCGTAAAGTGAACTGAAGTAAAGTAAAGTATTTGAGACAGTGGGGCTATTTGAGACGTATTTAAAATCGCTATAAAATGAAGACCCTTTGATTTTTATGTGATATTTTTGCTCAGGAAGGTGTGGAATCGAGCAGTAAATCGCCTGAGCAAAAATTAAGCATAAATTTCAAAAGGTTTTTATTTTATAACAATTTTAAATACTGTCTCAAATAGCCCCACTGTCTCAAATAGCCCCACCTTACGGTACCCTGCGGCCTGCACATCTATTTAAGGTTTAGCCCTAGCCCGTATTGGTGTTTTGCTCACCGCTTACGTACGGGGAGGGAGGGGGGAAGGGCTCCGTTGCCCCCAGCCGTTCGGCTGGAGAGATCATTTAACAGCACCAGGGTACGAGCGATACGAGCCACAAGAATCAGGCCTTCAATCCCCGCCACGAGATAGCTATCCACTAAACCACTGACACTTTTCGTCCATCCGTCGGGCGCTCACCTTTCTACGAAGAAGCGAATCACCAGGAAGAGAAACGCCATGGGTATGGGGTGATAGAGGTCCTCAAACTCGGCATATTTGACCGTCTCGTTGGACTTGATGTCGGCCCATGTGATGTTGGGCGGCAGCCACACATCCGGGTTCCAAAACCACTCGGACAGCGTCCGACCCATCGCTGACCAGCTGAAACAACAACACCGTCAAATGGCGTCACCACGCAGACCAACATCACTTGTGAGAATTGTGCTTAAAAATTGAAGGAGAGTGCAAAATTATTTTTACATGCATGTCATTTCCCACGCAATCAAATCAACCAACTCGGAGACATCAAGTGACATCACCTAACAAAAAAAAAAACAAACAATCAAACAAACAAAAATCCAATGTTTGCCATAGCTACACTGAGGAACACATCACTTTGAAACTTTAAGCAATTGATGGGGCAACGGTATGCATACAAATCACATCTCAGAATTTTTACATCAGTGACCTAAGGTCAAGTCAATTTTACCAACTATCCATTATAAGTCAATGGAAGAAAATTGAAATGCACTCAATTTGGGCGAAACTCATACTAATAGCACCGATGACCCCTCCTCCTTGTGCCCCTCAGCCCTCGGGTCATCCCAGACTGGAAAACATCCATACACTACGCCGGCGAGACGCTCTCGCGCCGAAATTCGGCGCAAGCCATTTTGCGCTGAAATTTCTGCATGATTTGTGCCGAAAATTGGGTGCATATTTGTGCCAAAATTAAGCCACTTTTATATAAAGCACATGTGCTCGTCTACCAATCAAGGCCATTTCACCCAGACAGGGCATTCCGGAGCCTTGGACGCTCTCCCATGTTTGAGCGTCCGAATAAGTTTCTTTTTTTTAGAAACCCAATGCCACAATACGCTTAGCGCACTAGCGTCGTGCCGCGAAACGAAGCCGGAATTTCCAGGGCCACAAAAATCGGCCGAGCAGTGTGTTCGAGGCTGGCGGGAGCCAGCGAGGGCCGGGCAGCAGAGCAGCACGTGCTCAGGCACATCAGCCTCTTCTAGGCACACGGCAAGCAAAGCGCGCCGTGGGGCACCGCTTGTCTGGGCACTGCTGGCACGCCGCGGAGTGGAGACAGCCGATTCGGTGCACGTACTGGAGCGAGCGGCCCCAGTGGCCCGCCCTCATCTGGTGCACCAAAACGGCGTCCTCTCGGCACTCTCCAGGGATAGGAAGCGGCGGCGTACTCCCGAGGAGTGGCTTGAATAGTGACTCGGACCAGTTGTCGCGCCATTAATGCGAGGCCGCACAAAGAACCACCCTCAACCCTGGTCAGCGAGCGGGCGTTTGAGGGCAGGGCGGCCGCTCGTTTCGCCAGGTCGTCCTACCTCATTTCCCTCGACAACGACGCTCAGCGATGTTCAACGAGGTCTTCACTCTTCCATACCTATCTCCACGCCGAGGGTTGAGACCTCACCTGGGCGGCTGCTCCACCGCTGAGTATAGACTCAGTGTGGCTCTAACCAATTCGAGTACACGACGACCCAGACCGGGACAGGAACGTCTCGTCCCGAAATATTTCCAGAGCTGCCAGCACTGCAAATCTGCTGCTAGATTGACCAGCATGCCGACTAAATTCAGTGAACGTCTTTCACCAAAAAATTCTGCAGCCGCCCTGCGGCGCAAATTCAGACGCCACCGTAGGCTGAATTCAGTGCATGCAAAGATATGCCGGACGTGCGCTGAAATTTTCTGCGCAATCCCACTACCATGCCGGACATATTCAGCATAACGTTTATTATTTCCAGTCCGGTTGGGGTCTACGCAACAAGCCCTGCTTAGCGTAAGCGTTGGCTCCGGCTCTGTCAATCCATCCATTCAAACATTCGAGCTAATTTATAAAAATATTGAAGTTATCGAACTGGCCTGTCAAAGTTGAAGTTACCCCTGGTTACCTGTAGTTATTTGAAATAGGCAGCCGCAGGGGTCGGTAATGTCACCACATATTTTGTCACCATTCACATTAAGGTTAGTTGCGATGAAAAAATAAATAACAAAACATCTCATACTTGAACTCACCGATTTCAATTTTGATTTATGACAATGTTGAGGCAAAGATGGTCCTCCCGATTCGCCAGAAACCACAAAAGCCAAAGATCAAGAAACTAAACTGAAATGATTGCCACAACAACAAATATAAATGTTAGAGAGACAATGGTCTAAATGCTAAAGAAAAACGTTTCGCCAGTAACTGCGCCACGCCTTCTTGTTCTAACCCCGAGCACTCTCCGCAGCCCGCAGCGACCTCTCCCCGCCGCCGGCCGACAAATGATAACATTCCATTCCAATGACATCAACGTTGAGTGCGATCTTATATTGTCTTGTATTTACTTAGAATTTTTGACGTCATAAATAATCTCACTCCACCCTGAACCTCATTAGATACAGATTGCATGAATAAATATTTATTTTATTTTCTTAGGGCCTAGATTTCCATTTTCTTTCGGCTCCGTTATCCCTCTTTGACCACATTATAGCCGATGTTCATAAAATTGTCCACAGCGATCTACCTGAGGCGTCTCGTAGATATTCGTTTTGATGGCTAGCGCCACCTACAATATACATCACCGGCGTACAGTGCCACCTATGAAAAACGGACGAATGACGAAGGACGAGTATAATCTGCACTCCAAGCAGAAAAAAAAAAACATGTTTGCCCTTTAACCCTCGCCGGACCTGGGGTTATTGGTTTTTTTTGGTTTTTATTGGTTTTCTACATACGCGCCGGCCGAGGGGGGGGGGGTGCGACCCCCCTCGCCGTTTCGCTCCTGGTGGCTAGCGCGTCGCGGAAAAAACGAGCGTGTGCGCCGTTACGAGACGCTGAGATTGGTACCCGATTTTAGGGTCCTAGGTCAACCGGTGACCTCTGAGGTCAGGTCAAGTGCCCCAAGGTACGGCTCAGTTTTTGGTGAATAACTTCACAAAAAACGGCCACAGAGCCGCGATTTTGGCAGCATCGTGTTCGCCTTGCTCAGGCGCGTCGAATAATATACTTTTTGTTCGGGTCAGGTCAACTTGGGGTGTTGACCTCAGGTCAAGGTCAGGTCAGCACCCCAGGTCACGAAGCTGGTTGAAAGAGGTCATGTCGCATATCATTCGATTCGGCAGGTCTTCCTGAGTCCATTGGTGGCGTTCCTGACTCGCTAGCTCAATTTGATCAATAGCTAGGTATTGACGAAAAACTAATATGACCTTGATGACGTCATAAATGACGTCACGCAAGGTCAACATTGCAAAAGTGGCGCATCTAACCTTGCAAGGAGTGCATCAAATCACGATTCTGTGTGCTTGAGATAGTTGGAGATTGTTCCCGGCGCCAGAATAGCAGTTTTCATTTTTCCCCATTGACTTATAATGGTGATTGGTGAGGTCACGAAAATGACCTGACCTCATATGAACTTAAGGAAAAATCCAAGATATACAAGTTGTGAGACTCATAATGGATACTAGATCCTGCAAGTTTCATTTTCCTGTGACATCTCCTCTAGCAGTGAGGGCGTTGCGAAGTTGCGACATCTGAAGACCGTGCAGAGGTTCACTTATGACGTCATACTTCATAGATCAGTGACCTGACCTGACCCAAAAATGCGGTCGGTGTCAAAAGATCCGGCTTGAATCAAAGGTCAGGTATGCCAAGTTTCAGCTCTCTATCGCCAGCGTGTTCGGAGCTATCGCGAAAAAAAAACCTATGGGGGGGGGGGGGGCGGCACCCCACTTTGACCGGCGAGGGTTAAACCGATGGCAAGCATGCTTTTCACTTTTTTCTTCTTGGAGAAAAACATGTTTGCCCTTTGAACCGATGTTTCGTTTGGTTCACCACTGCACTATCGGATCCGTGCGGCGTGAGTAAATGCCCCCGAAATCTTTCGAGCCCGCGCGGGGCCAGTGCTTGGGGTCAACTGCGTCGGGTTTACGATACACAGAGTGATTGGTACATACCCGATTTTAACCTGGACGGGCCCGGAGGGCATTCTCATCCACTGCAGCCGGGGGGGGGGGGAGGGATATCAAATACCCCCTGTCTTATTCCGTAAATAAGGGTGCTACGGAAACAAAAGCGGTTGGTACCAATCAAAAGATCTCTAGGAGACGATTCTCAGGCACCTATTTTTTTTTTTTACCTCAGGTCAATTGTGAAGTTTAGAGGTCAAGGTTAACCCGCGCCCTGGTGGGGTCTGTTTATAACGCAACCAGGTTGGGGGGCTATTTTTTGCCCCCCCCAGGTATCTCCGAAACTACGCAAAATTCAAACGGCGTTTGAAAGCCCTGTCAAATTTGTCGGGGAAATCCAATTTTATTGCCCTCGGGGTCACCAATGAGTACGTCACAGGTCAGGTCAAAGATAGAATGTTTTGCCGGTCACGGGTCTTCTAGGCAGGGATGGATTTTGGTTTTTTATTGGGGTTGGCGGCTGCACAGCCCTGAGGTCGCCCAAAGTGGTTCCGAGGGGCGCAATGGTCCGTAAGTGGGCGCCACCAGGGACGGTCGTAACGTAAACTTGGCGTTGGGGGGGAGGCAAATTGGCAAAGGGGTCCCTGTATCAAATGACTGCCTCAAGCTGTATCTGAAACTTAGTGGCGCTGTGCCACGGTTCTCACGCTGTTAACAAAAAAAAAAAAAAAAAACGTTGTGGTTCCGATGCCACTAAATTAGGTAGTCCAATTTTACCCTAACCCTGACCTGACTGTGTAGTAGACTGCCCCACCCCTGACTGCCTGACTTTATGTAGTAGATTGCCCCACCCCTGGCCATGCGCCAGCGGCCCATGTGCCGCTGTACGTAACATACCTGGCGCCGCCCCTGACTCGGCCCGCGGCGCACGGCCTGAGCCGAGGCCGCGGTTCAATAAACCAGAACAGAACGGACCGCCGTGGTGTAACATCTTGTATGTATGTACTTACATGTTTCTGTGACCTGGTCACCTGACATGAAATAACTGAGATGTGGAATTTTCAAGGAAGACGTCAAAATGATGGCCCAAGGGCATGATGCCAAATTTGGTGGCGATACGCGCCGCCGTTTTTACGCGATTTGCGAAAACCCTGATGGGAGTTTGCACCCCTGGCCACAACTTACCCACCATAGTGGTACCTAATTTTCCAATATGGCTGGACAATAGATATGTACCTACTAGCATAAGACAGCAGCTTGCAACAAGAAAGCACAACCTGAACCAACCATCGTTCATATGGTCGTTCATATGGTGCAGGCGAGTGACCACGAATCTGAAGTTACTGGGGACCACATGGAGGGCCGCGAAGACTAAATATTATATGCTAGATGTGGAGCGAGATAGGGGAAAGTGGGTGTATTGCGCCCTCCTAACCAATTGCGCCCACCAACATTCCCACGAATTCGATGGCATGTTTATAATTTTGTGTTCGAAAACAATATTTTCACCACCTGATAGTTCATTTTATGGCCCAAGCTCTCCGACGAAGCCAATCAGCAGGGCTCAGTTACGCCATAAAAGATATTACGGCGTTTTCTTAGCTTTTTTGCAGTATTTTGAACCGTTGGCTATAAAAATATGTGATACGTGTGTGATTTTCAGAGTGATATTTAGAAAGAAAGCCCATTTTTTCATTATATTTCACTTAAACAGTAAACTACCTTCAGCATATTTATGACAACTTCTACGCTTTTATTAAAAAGTACCTCAATTCTAATTGCGCCCATGGCAATTGCGCCATGGGGGCGCAAATAGAATAATGGTGTAGGCTATTGTATCACGACAGTATGAATGCACCATTATCTGATTGCAATAAAGAAGGAGTTTAATGCCAGGCAGGGCAGCCCGCTGTCGCCAGTCCGCAAATTATTTCTCTCGTCAAACTTATAATGCAGCTGCCATTTAGGTTGCCAACTTGTGGTGTAATTGACAAAATACGGCATTTTCAATATGGACTCGGGCGTGAGAGGTGACAGCTATGATCAAAAAGTAAAAACTGATGTCAACAAGTTGTCGAAACGATAAAAATTAATAATTTTGAGAGAAACGATTGAAAATTTAACCATACTTTCACATATATCTAGTCTGTTACATAAAAGGTTTTCGTTGCACTTTTACAAACATACGGACACATGTAAAGTTATTTACCTGGGCAAAAAACATCGCTATTTATATCTACCTTTATTATTTATCCAGCCTGATTAACATTATAAATGTTTAAGTAAGCCGCAATGACATTACACTGCCGGGGTGTATGCATTCCGTCTCATTCGCTTAGCCATGTTTAAGTATAGGGCGCAATTGGATTCTAATTGCGCCATCCCCCTGGCGCAATTTACAGCAGTTGTCGGTAAATGCGCCCTTTTGCATGTTTCTGAAAAGCAGCTGTCGGAAGCACACGAAACATTCTTAATTGATCGGGAGGCTCTTAAATCGTAGCTAATGAGTTCCTCTTTGAAGTGGTTACCAGTGCATGCTTATATCTCCAGCGGTTTTCTTACAATTAGCGTTTTTCCTTAAGGTGGCGCAATTCACCCTCCTTCCCTTACGTGGAGTGGGTGGAAAAATTGCTAAGAATAAAATCTATCCAAAAAATATATTAAATCGATCTGTCGGTTAGCTTCGGTTCCTAGTTTGTATTTTAGGCGTCTTAGAGGGAACTTGTTTTGTTGGCAAACACAAAGTCTAAATATGAACATAAACATGTAGGTATGGTCGAAAGACATTCTTAACCCTATTCCTGGCGGGGGGCCTCAGGAGCCCCCCCCCCCTGAGGTTTTTTGGTGATTTCTCCCAAATGCTTTGAGCTAGGAAGCTCAAATTTTCTGACTTTTACTAAAAGGCTTTTACGCAACATTTCTGAAAATTTTTGAGTTGATCTGACCTCAGGTCAGGTCACCAGAGGCGGTTTGGTGACCCTACCTCAGAAAAGTTTGCAATCACGCCAGAGCTAGAGTTTTTGACCGATCAATTTCTTCTCTTCAGGCTTTAGTTAGGGTACCAGTATGTGCAATTTGTATATCTCAGAATTTTCATATCTGTGACCTGAGGTCAGGCCAGACTCGTGACCTTTACATTGCAAGCCTATGGGAAAATATTGAAACGCCTCCTGCTTCGTGTAAACGAGTCAAAACCACCCAATTCTTTCAGTATTATGGAAGATTATCTCATCGGTGATGATCCTGGTGCTGCTAATTGACAGGGGCACCGGCAAAGGTCATCTGAGGTCATGTGACGTCATAAATCGTTTTTCTGTAAATAAATCACGACATGATGGTGCTAAAGACTTGTAAGTGGTACTGAACTGCTCGCCTGGTCAAGGCGCGTCGTTTGGTATGCAGCATGACCATACCCCACAGGCCACAACCTCATTGATGAATGACCTGACCTTGACCTCAGGTCAAATTTCAAATTGACCTGTGAAGGTCATCACATACTTATTTCGCATCGCCTCGGCGAGAGCAACAAAAAATGTATTGGTTTTATGTCTCTATGTTTCTTAGTTTA